AATCTCTCGTACTGGTCTGCTTAATTTCTCAAAATTTTCGCCTTCGGCGCTAAGAAAGAAAAGAATCTGGCTTCATAACTTTTCAAAATTCTCAAAATTTTGCTAAAAATGGAAGACATCTATCGGTACCTAAAATCTTGAAGAAAAACTTGATTATCGAGATCAAGATTTTTCGAGACATCTCGTACTATTGTCGTGCGATAAAAATTTCAGTTTTTCGAGATTCGAGATATCTCGTACGATTCTTTTACTTCCAATCTGGTCGTAAAAGATCTGGTCTATAATCTTCTGGATTATAGACCAGATTTTTTACTCCCAATCTGGTCTATAATCTTAACTTTTCTGTTTTAAGAGGTTTAGTTAAAACTAATGGAGAACATGCGGAATAAGGCTTTTTATTTAAAATTTTAACTATTTTTATGGTTTTTAAAATAATTCCCTAGTTTTTGCCATATTTTTGACTAATTTCGCCCTATTTTTTCCCTATTTTTTAGTGGCTGCGCCCCATTTTAGTGGTTTGGAAACGACAACCCTGAATCTCAAATAAAAATCCAGGTTATCGAAAACGATATTTTCCAAGATAACTATCTCAATTCCTGTATAAACTTCCCAGTCTGTGTGCTAGTTTTTACTTTTTTTAATCAAGAAATTCCCATTTAACAAGCGGACTTAAGTGTTCAAAAGTGCGGATAAATTAGAATAATTTAACCAAAAATCTAATTTTAATTAAAAAAAATATTTTTTTAAGCGAAAAACAATTAAATGAAATAATTGTTCGTAAATGTTCAAGATGTGGAATTCAATTTATAAAAGAAAAGGGATGCAATAAAATGACTTGTCGTTGTGGTATGACCCAATGTTATCTTTGCAGGGAAATTGATATTAAAGATACACATTTTTGCCAGTTAGTTTCTTTTGAATTTTTAAATTAATTAAAAGTAGGGAAAGAGTTAAGAGGGGGAATGGGGTTATTTGAATTTTTGAGCAAACTTTTTTTAAATTTCGTAAGAGGTGAGAAACTTATTCTCTCTAAAAAAATTTTTTTCGAGGGAGGATAGTCAGTTTAAAAAAGAACATGATTAAGATTAGCGGATCCTGGGTAATCCCCGGGATATCCGAAATGTTTGAATATCGGAACTTTTTCCATCAATCATGACAGGCCCGAAAAAATGCTGGTTTCGGGCCTGTGAGCCATGACACCATTTTACCTCAATATTAATTTAACAGAATTAAGTAAGTTTGTCAGATTGTCTCTTTTTTTAAGTTTAAGCTCCTCTATTTATATAAAAAAAATTTTTTAATAAATTGGGGGTTTTTAATCAATAATTTTTTAAAGACATTTTCGCGATCCAAAAAAGAAGATATGTAAACAATGTGATAAAAAATGTCTTTTTCACGAAAACTCGGAAAAAATAGATGAAAAATTAATTAAAGAAATTAAAGAAAAAGAGGAAAATAAATAATTGTGGATTTTAAAAAATTTATAAAAATAAATAAATTTCTAATTTTAAGAAAAAAATTTTGGAAATTTTTGAAATTTTTTTCAAAAAATTTTCTCAAAAAAATTTTTTAATTTTAATTTTTTGTAATTTTTATGCATAAAAAATAATTTATTTTTAAAAATAAAATTTAACAAAGTTTCCATTTTATTTTCAAAAAATATTTTTTAACAAAAATATAAACTAAAAAAATTAATTGTGGACAATTAAAAATTCCAAAAGAAATCCAAAAATGATTAAATGGATGTTCATCCACCACAAACTTTAGCAAAATTAGACAGGCAAAAGTATGGGAAATTAAAGCAAAAAAATTAAATTGAATAGGAAGAATTAATTTTAAAATAAAAAAAGTTTCAATTAATAAAGAAAAGAGGGAAATTGAGAGGATTATAACTAGCCAAGTATCGCTGTCAGCAAAAATTAAATTGTCAACTTCTCCGGGGGGAAAGGAAGATAAAATGTGTTTTTCCTGAAATTTTAAAAAGGAAAATAATATTTTTTTATTTAATTTTAAAGAAAAAAAAATATTTTTTAATTTGAAAAAATTTTATTTTGTGAGTAACTTACTCTGTCAAAAAATATACAAAAAAGAGAACATCCATGGGCTGCTATTGCAACAATATAGCTACCTTCCATTTTTTTGGGAAATAAAATTAAAAAAAAATTAATAAGAGAATAGATTGTTATTTTTGTGATTTAGAAAGTCCACCTAATCTATGTGTGTGTTTTCTTTCAAGAAAATCTTCCCAGATATTGCCATGGAAACGGCATTTTCTTAAAAGTGTACTAAATTAAATTTTCAAATTGGCGCACTACAGTATACTTCGCTTCAAAAATTTTCTCTGTTTCTCTACTTTTAGAGACGTATCCCCTCAAAAGATAGACGCACTAAAATATAGATACGGCTAAAAGCGATTAAAAGATAGACGCGGCCAAAAGCAGCTAAAAGATAGATAAGGCAAAAATCGATCAAAAGATAGATGCACTAAAATATAGATGCACTAAAAGATAGATAGGGGTAAAATCTATTAAAATATAGACAAGTCTAAAATTGGGCAAAACACAGATAAAGTTTGGGGTCCAGTTGAGTACCAACTGTTGAGTGCCTGATCTTTGTTTGTTTTTTTCAGATCTTTGTTCTGATTTCATGTTTCTGTTCTGATTTTTATTTTATTTGTACTTTAGTATATACGCGGAAAAAAGTTTTTGCCGCTGCGGATGAAGCCGGGCATGTCGAGCGGAACGACGCCGGCGCTTCGCTACGGTCGCCGCGAGCGAAGCGAGCACGACCGCAGCGAAGCACGGCCATCGTGTAGCGAAGACCATGCCCGGCTTCCTCCGCAGCGGCACAAAAACAGTTTTTCCAGCGAGAGATTCAGATAGTTAAATTTTCTGTCCAGACTCAACCGGCCTATTTCGCAGTCTATATTTTAATAGTTTTTACCCCAGTCTATCTTTTAGTGCATCTATCTTTTAATGCATCTATCTTTTAATCGATTTTGGCCTAATCTATCTTTTAGTGCATCTATATTTTGGCGAGTCTATCTTTTGTAGGGGAGCCTTTAGAGAGTGTGGAAAACTGAAAATTTCTATTTAAGCGTTATTGATTTTTGTTTACGAGCGGTATTTGTCCTTCAGGTTTATTTGTTGCATTTCCTCTGTTTTGTGTTTATTGCGAATTACTAGATGACTAATTCCTCATAAAATTTTTAATTTTCAGAATTTACTTTATCTTTTAAATCGAAAATTCGTTAATAAAATGTCTGGTCGTCGTGGAAACTTGATAGAAGGAAAAGTTTATGTGGGAGGCCTGCCTGAAGATGCTACATCTGAAGAGGTTTTTTAAACAATTTGTTTATAGCTTCATTTACTCATTTTTATAGTTGGATGATGCTTTCCACAAATTTGGTCGAATCCGCAAAATTTGGGTAGCTCGTCGTCCACCAGGCTTTGCTTTTGTAGAATTCGATGACGGTCGAGATGCTGAGGATGCAGTACACGCATTGGATGGATCGTTAGTTTTTTTATTCTAATTTAAACTAAATCCTCTCAAATTTAGACGACTCTGCGGCGTTAAAGTTCGTGTAGAACTTGCGGTTGGTGGACGAGGAGGTGGAGGACGTGGTGGCCGCGGGGGTGGTGGTGGAGGAGGCTTCCGTAATAATGATTACCGTGGTGGTGGTGGAGGAGGCGGCGGCGGGAGTCGATACCGTGATCGATCTTATGATCGTCGTGAGCGTTCAAGGTTAACATTTTAATTTAGAAACTTGGAAGTTTTTTGGAAACCGTTAATGGCTGCCGCCACATTTTTCTGACATGGGCCACGATTCTCTTGTTTTGGCGGCAGTCTTTTTATATACTTTTTATTCTTTATTTCTCTATCTAATTTACGAGTGCTGTTTTCAGCTTTACAAAAAACTCCCAATCTTCTCAACTAACTCTTCTCTCCACACTTCCCTTCATGTTCTTCTTTACTCAAATCATTCTTCACTACCTCACATTCTGCACCCAAAAAATAAACAAATCGCCTCAACGGTTTACAAGCGCCGGATAAAACACAAAAACGGCTAAAAACAAAAATAATACAATTTTTGTTTCTGCCCTATAAGAACCTCCCATTCTGCAACTTTTTCTTGTGTTTGTGTCTTCTTCGCACGCTCCTCTTCCCAAGCTACTAACCCTGCTCAACTAAAATTTCTTTACTTCAACTTACTATGTAGATCTCGTTCTCCATATGAACGTCGTGGTGGAGGAGGTGGTGGTGGTGGTGGTGGACGTTCGCATTCGCGATCTCGTTCCCGCTCACGTTAATTTGGCTGTTTATGGATGATGGTTTGCGATTTTTGAAGGTTTTCTTTGAAATTTTTTTGAAAATTTTAAATTTGTTAACTTTTCAGTTTGGACACATTTGGCTGTTTGTGAGAAAAGAAATACGTGAGGGGTTGTTTTATTTGGATTTTATGTCTATATCTTAAACCCCATGAATCAGAGCTGTTTCGAAATTCAAATTTTCTGAGTTATTTCGGTTTAGACTTTTTAGTTATTTCCAAAACTGAAAGGTCTGCTTTAAAAAGACTATTTACACACTAAATTAGATCCAAAGATTTTTTTGGTTTGATCCTGGTTCTGGTTATCCGTGGATTTTACGTGATCCACAAGCCTTGCTCCTAACTCTTGATTTTCGACTTACAATTAAAAAAAGATTTTATTTCGAAACAGCTCTCCTGACACATCTTTATGTAAAAAAGGAATTCTTGAATTTTTTGGTTTTATTTTTGTTCCTGAAAGTTATTTTAAAGAAATCCTTTTTCAACTAGTGTTCAACCAATATATATTTTCTTGGCATATTCATGTTTTTGTAATTCATCTTAAATAAATATTTTTTTAATTTTGATATCTTATGAATGGATTTCCATTTGTTTATTTGTCTGTTTACAACTTTAATTTTGAAATTTGATTTTTAGAAAATTTTTAAACTAGAAAAGTTAAAAAGTTTTAAAAATGACAAAGAAGCGCCGCAATAATGGAAGAAACAAAAATGGTCGTGGACATGTGAAGCCTATTCGTTGTACCAACTGTGGACGTTCCTGCCCAAAGGACAAGGCTATCAAGAAGTTTGTTGTTCGCAACATCGTAGAGGCTGCTGCTGTTCGAGATATTACTGATGCTTCTGTCTATGAGCGTTTGTTTTTTAATTTTGAATGCAAGTCTAACCCGCTATAAGATACCCTTTTGGACTGGAAAATATCGGTAATAGTTTGGAATTCGCCCCCCTTTTTTTTTCCTTTCTATTTTTTCCTAGTTTCTTCTCATCTTATGGCAAATTATATATCATTACAAAGAGCTCTTCAAGCTGACATGAGTCGAATGACATCAAAATCAACGAAATCTGACTTAAGTGAAAAAAGTTGTGACCGTTTATTTTATCCCCTTGCATTGACACAAAAATTTTGCCCGATAAGCATTTAGCTTCATAATTTTGGTAAAAATGATAAGATCTAGCCATTCATGGTATCATTCGACCAAGCTCGAAGAGTTCTTTCGAATGATACATGTTAAATTATGCATCAAACAAAAAAGCTCAAAATGGTCAGGGAAACGATGAAAAAAAGGGGGCGAATTCCAAACTATTACCAAAATATCTAGTGGGGTTATCCTAAATTTGGGGTTCTACGAAAAGTTCTCTAGTAAAATTTTTTAGCCAACCAGCCTGAAAATCATATAGAGATATGGGTGTCATATAGTGATGTCCAGCTTGTCCCACTCATAGGAGGTCTTTCTTGTCTTGAATTTTTCAATGGCTCCACTGAAGTCGGTTTAAACTAATCAGGTTTTATGGGAAGTGGATGGTTTTTAAAACTTAAGACTTTTAATTTTTGTATTCTTAAAACGTGGAACTTGAATACTAATAAAATAATCTTTCAGAATATGCTCTGCCTAAGCTGTACCACAAATTGCATTATTGTGTTTCGTGTGCAATTCACAGCAAAGTCGTTCGTAATCGTTCTCGTGAGGCTCGCAAGGATAGAAATCCACCGCCTCGATTTGGACAACGTTCTGCAGCTGATCGTGCACCGCGTCCAGGAGCACAGGGAGGTGGAACTGGAGGTTATTTTTTTTTAATTTTAGAAATTTGTAAAAAATTAATTTTAAGGTCAAGGAACTGGTGGTCCAGTTGTGCCAGCACTTCGCAATGCTTGATTGACGTTTGGTGCTGTTTTAATTTTTTTGAAGTGGATGTTGTTGCTCTATTATCTATTATTGTTGTTTAATAAAATCTTCGGTTTTGTTGATTTTTATTTTTTTAAGGTTCTCGGGCATAAGAATTTACCTTAGTGAAATTTTTAAAAAAAAATTTATCTCGCCAAAATAATTAACAATTCAAGCATTAAATAAAATTGTCACAAAAGACGTTGGATAAAGAATGCCACACAGCCATATCAACTTCAAACCTTATAATTTGGAAATTGTCAGCCGACATTAAGTAAATATTTTTTCGCTATTTTAAGTTTGCCTAAAATAAATAAAAATTATAAGGAAAATATAAAATAATAAACATCTAAAAATGGCTGCCCAAAGCTTCCATTCGTCAAATTCATTAACTTTTTTCCCACCAAAAAAATTTAGACATTTACTAAAAAAGTCATGCAGCTTTTGTCTCTTACTAATATAACACACTTTAAGCTGAAAATTAAAAAAAAATTGCAAAAACTGATAATAAATGCTTAAACTTCTATTTTACTCTCCACAACAGTCCATTTAAGTAGACGAGATAATTTTTCATCCTAAAAATTTTAATTCATAAATATTGTTTGAATAAGAATATGAGTGGTAAATTTACGTTTGAAAAAGTATGCCACGCAATCATATCAATTTCGAACCCTATAATTTGGAAATTGGTATTGTAACAATATTTTTTTAATCCTTATCCACAATTATCATATCGGGGAACTATCTTTCACAACTTTTTCTGCGCCGGAATGTATCCGGCCGAGATTCTGCGGACTCTGATAAATTTGTTATACTGGGGGTTTGGGACTGGATATAGTTCTGAGAGGCTTAATCAGTTTAATGGAAAAAATATTTTAAACTAACAATAAATATTCCTATCAAGTACTGAATAATCTTCACAACTAATGTTGTCATAATCAATGGGGCGAGAAAATATATCAACCAAATCCGTCAGAAAGACAATAACTTCATCTCTGTACTGAATTTGATAAAAATATAAGGTGATGCTTTGGTCGTCGCCCCTCTTCTTTCCCCATTTCCCTGACCATTATGAGCTTTTTTGATTGTCATCATTCGAACGAGTCTTCAAGCTGGGTCGTATGATACCATGATCGGTTAAATTTGATCATTTTGATAATTATGAAGCTACTCCCGTTGCAAGGGATTAAAGTTGTCCAAGCATAACCTTGTCCATTCAAGTCAGATTTCGTTGATTTTAGTATCATTCAACTCAGCTTGAAGAGCTCTTTCGAATGAGAAACATTTTAAAAAATAGAAAGGAAAAATTGGTGGAGTGGCGGCTTTGAAAGTAATATTACAAATTATTTTTTTAAAGATATATACTCACAAATTTTAAACGAAGCATCCTTGTTCTCATACGATTAAAAATTAAAATATCGAATATTTTGTATACACGAATTTTTGACCATTTTATATTAAATGGAATAAAATGGACAATTTCCGATAATAATTCGACTGGGAAAAATGTCTTTTTATTTTTCATTTTTTTTAAATTTTTGTTGATACTAAAAAATTGTGTGAGAAATCGACAAAAGGAGCCCAAATATATACTCAAGCAGACACATTGCTGCTTCAAAGGCAGAGACATGCATAAGGTCAAGAAACTTGTGGTCCAGTTTTTTTTTCGCAAGCAGCGTGAGACTTGGTTGACATTTGTTCGATTTTCTGAATGGATATCTGGTGTGGTGAATTTTTCAATCTACTTCAAATTTCCAAAATCCATTAGGACAGGATTAAGTTGACAGATTTATTCTTTTGTAGTTGCTCATCTGAGCTTTACTGCAACAAACACTTACAACACTAACCCTATTTTAAAATGCTTTTGGGCATGTTCTTTTCGTCCTAACTTTATTTTCGATTATTTAAGATAATTTTTAAGTTTGCTAAAAAATATGCCAACAAATTTTTATGCAACAAAATTTAATTTTCTTTAGGCAACAAAATAACAAATTTATTTTTATTCCAATTTTAAATCCTCAAAAAAATTACATAATTCCCCCTCACTTCACTGTAATGCCTTGTCCTCATCGGAAACCAATCCATTGGTCATTATAAGTATCCCTAAAATAAAAATTACGCTGAAAATTTTCTTAAGATGTCGTTTTAATGTGGATTTTTCATTAAAGCTCCAGCCCTGATAAAATATCAAAACATTTGGATATACTCCTAAATGAACCTAACTTAATAGAGAAATTGGCTATTAAGATCCCACTTTAGCCTTAAGTAAATGGTGCATTTAAAAGCTGAAGGTAAAAAAAAAGAAACCATTGAAAAGACCCCTCATAAGACTCCACTCATCAAATTCCTCAATTTTCTTCCCAGCAAAAAAATCAGCTTGTGCAACAAAAAATTCGTTGAGCTTCTTACGCATTGCCATATAAGTATCTTTGAGCTAAAAAATAAAAATTAACAAAAAATATAAAAGAACGCGCAGACATGCGGAAAATGTCGGTTCTTATCCACATTAGGCCATCCAATTAAACGCGGAACTTGATCATGCTGAAATAAACAAAAGAACATTTAAAAAAATTTCTAAACTAAATTAGTTTGAAATATATCAAATATTTTTAAAAATAAATGGAAAGGTAAAAAAAATTGCTGCAGTTATAAAAGCTTACATAAACAGACCACTCAACAAGTTGGAGGTAGATATCTAAAAATACACGTATTTAAAAAGAATTTTAAAAAGAATATAAACTCACTTTCCATCGTTTTATGAAGACCTAACAAATCCTCCCGTCGAACCTGGTCAAAATTGACTTTTCGCGAAAAAGCCTTCACTAGAACAGGCAGATGAGACAGAATATTGTCTTTGTACTAAAAAACAAAATTTTAATTTTTAGGCAAATTTTGTAACTTTAAATAATACAAACTAACAAATTTTAGACGAATTATCCACCTTTTCAGATGATTAAAAATTAAAATATCGAATATTTTGTATACCCGAATTCTTACCCATCTTAGATTTAGAGGAATAAAATGGACAATTTCTGATAATAATTCTATAGGGAAAAATGTTTTTTTATTTTCCATTATTTTTTGTGAAGAATTTTGGAGGAGTGTGTATAGGAATGCGCAGAAAATAGAAATAAATGAGTAGGGAATCGACAAAATGAGCCCAACACCCATACTCAAGCAGAAACGTTAAAAAAGCTAGTGCAACTATTCTTCAAAAATATCGAAAAATTAAAGATCTTAGAGCTTAGATGAAAGTAAGCGTATTTCCAGAAAATGTAAAAAATTTAAGGGGAGAATTGGAAGGATTTCTTTTCACTCTAAAAATTTGTTAATCCAAAGCCAAGATTATTCCCTTTACTCTAATGACAAATTAGAAAAAGTAGAGAATGACTGCCCCCCTATTTTGGCGCTAAATGTAAGAAAGAAAATAAAAGTAAAATTACTATGGACAGTTTAAAATTTATTAGCGTCGAAGCTAGTCAATCAAAAAATAATAGGGAAAGTTTGCCGAAAATAATATGAAAAGGTGGATAACATCCCAACAAGTTGGAAAAATATCGGAATACCAAACAGACGCTGCTCTGTGATTTATACATCATTCGAAAGAGCTCATCTAGCTGAGTCGAATGACATCAAAATTTTGATTGAGACTCGATTCTGGGTTAAGATACGGATTCATGAATACTGCAAACCCTTACTGGGTTCGCTCGCTCGTTCATAACGGCGATGCACCAACAACACCGTTCGAGAGATTATTCGGAATCGGACCTTTTATCCCAAAATATAGATCCCCCCTCCTCATCGTTTTTTAACTTTCAGGGCCCGTATTTCATTGACAGTTCGGATTGATCCCTATCATCATTCAACTCAACACTAAATTCGCTGCAATGACATATAAATCAACAGACCGGCGTCCGTTTAACAAAACCCCCAAAGTTAATCTTTAAACCCCAAAAGAAATTTTAAAAGATGCAAACCTGTTGAAGTTGTTGAACATTCGTCATTTTAATTGAAATAATTTCAAAATAAAATTTTTTTTAATTGATAAGTCTCTAAAAATATAAAATTTAAATTTAGAATTAGGGTTCCCAGCTCGCTCGCGAAACTCGAAAGATCAAGCGAGCCGAGGCTTTTTAACTCGAAAAGCTCGGAAACAAACCGAATCGAAAAAAAACCAAGATCGAAAAATATGTACCGAACGTCGGCTCGAACCGAAAACGGCAACCCTATTTAGAATGTTATAAATAGCGTCAATAATTAATGAAAGAAAATTTAAAGAAAAAAACAATAATTGTAAAACAGGGCGTAAACAGCAATTAATAGTGCCGGGAGATAGGTTGGCTCAAGCTTCAGAACAAAAAGGCTCGATGCTGACCTCTCGCGAATTAAAAAAAAAATTAAAAATAAAGTCTGACTCATCCTTGGAACTTTTCGCAAATACAAGAAATAATGACAAAAAAACTAGAAAAAAGACACAAAAATTAAAACTTTAACTAGGAAAGAATTTGACTAGAAAAGAAAAATAAGAAAAAATTAAAAATGTACTTTAAATTACTCAAACATCGGAAAGCGACTATCGAGTCTCAGCATTTAAGTTCCACCGTTTGAGTCCCCCAAAAAAAGGGGCGGCTGAGTTCCCGTATTTATTTTGGGTACGGCCCACTTTGTCGCAAAGGTTTTTTAGTGCTGCTATGGAGGGTAGGAAAGGGCCTTTTGGGCATGACCGGGGTTTTCCGGAGTAATCTGGTTTGGTTTTTCAACACCTTCGTTCCTTCAGAAACTGCAAACTCGAAAATGGCAGTCAGAAACTGACGGAAATCAACTAAATTAAAAAAAAAGAAAAACTTAAAAACCAAATAAAACTTTTTCAAATTTCCTAACGTTGTAGCCGTGGAATGAAGTACGGCACGTGGCGAGCAAAATTTAGGCCAATTTTAAAATAAAAATCAAAGGAAAGCCTGCGACAAAGTGGTCTGCGACAATGTGGGCGTGTCCCATTTATTTTTAAGATTTTTTGGGACTTTTGGTCCCCAACTTTAATTTTTAGGGAGTAGATTAGAGGCCGAAACGAGACTGAGATTTCGAACAAAAAACTCGGTTATAGAGATCGATATAATTGAGATACTTTAAATTATTCAACAAGATGAACATCATATCTCTCCCGCACCACGACTCCAGCAACGAGGAAATTAACAAAGTTGGGAATTTTTTAGTCATTTTTGGAAGGAACAAGGAAATAGCATCGGTAGAATATTGCCAACTAAACCTCTCCCTCAAGGAAAAGAAAAACTCCTGCGAAAGAGTGTCGGTACAACCGAAAGGTTTCCGTTAGGAATAAATCAAGTTTTGACAAATTTGAGGTACATGGACTCCATCTTCAGTTGCTAGTTTGCTAAAGGGCTATACAAAATTTAAAAAGTTAGGTATTTAAATGTTTGATTAGGACATTAAAATAAAGAACAAAAAAAATTAATTAAAAATTTTTAAACAAAAATTATAATTTGAGCAACCATTTAAAAAAATTAAAGTCAAAAATGAGAGGTCTGAAAAAATAAAAAAATAAATACAAAATTAAAAAGTCCTCTTCTCAATAAAAATTAAGATGAACATCTTTTCCAATATTAAATTTTTCCTTATTTTTTTCAAATAATTCTTCAAGTCCATCACAGTAATTTTTATGAAGTCCAAGAATTTCTTCTTTTGAAGGGTAGGGAATTCTTTCAACTTTTATTGGTTTTCCTACAATTGTTGTTATTGGTCTTCTTCGAGGTAATAAAGGAAATAATGAATGGCCGAAAAATATTGGTGGACAGAAACCACAGAATTTTTTGATTAAACTCTGAAAATTTTTTTGAAATTTTTTTAAATTAAAAAACCTGTATTTTTCTAATTTGGGAACCTCGGGGATGTGTATATTGCTCATAAACGTCATTCTCTCCAAAACTGTAGGATGGCACTAGTGAAGCTCTAAAATGAAAAGATTTTGATAGGTTGTTGAGGGGAAAATTTTTGCGGACAAAACTTACGGACATGGACAGAATTTGCGGACATACCATAACTTAAACCCGGGACATGCCCAGAACGCTGCACGACATAATGGCGCAAAGTCATAATTTGCTTCAAAATTTCCTAATTTCACCAGATTTAATACCAAACGATTCCTCTCATTGAGCTGAGGAGTTTGGTTCCAGAATTGTCAAGGACAAAACATTTTACGTTAAGTTATGGATTTGCGCCGTTATGGCCGCGCGCCGTTTTGGGCTGTACCCATTAAAACCCAATCCGAGAAATTTTTCGAAAACTCTACCGAAATCCTACCCAATCTAGTTCCTCTATCCCACAGCCCTCTCCCTATTGTACCCAAAAAATACCCAATAAAATAAAGAAATACCCAGTCTCTAGAGCAATTCTGCAAAATCCAAGTCTCCTCATCAGATTCAAATCGGTACTTCCCGGCTTCGAATCCAAAACTTCCTCAGCCCCGCCAATAACAATTCCAGCAAGAGCTCCCCCTTTTGGATTATTTAAAACAAAACGAAGACTTTTTGCGGAAGACTCTACACCTCCTAAAAAAATTTTTAAAATTTTTTCGAAAATTCAAACCTAATCCAATCCCAATTTCTCGTCTAAAAGGAAACCAAAATTGTCCATTCAAAGTAAGTAAATTTGGTTTTAAACCAGGAAATTTTTCAGAAAAGCCAGTCGATGAAGTACACAAATGAGTGAAAGCGCCAATACTGAAGAGTCCGTGGGGGTGGCATCTGAAATGGAATTCTAAATAAATTTTTTGGGCAAGAAAATCTTCAAAAAAGCTATTGAGAGAACAAAAACGATCAAAATGCTTTATTTTCACTCTTTAAATTTCAATTCTACACTATTATCTAAATGTGCGCCATAGTATGTTTTATGTGAAAACGCCAATTTTGGCGTTTTCATTTACCATAAAATTATTTTTGGCGCACACCGAAGAATAAAGCCCAATAAAATAAAGGAATACCCCGTCTCAAGAGGAATTTCTGCAAAATCCAAGCTTATACATTTTCATTATAAGCTACGGATTTTTTCAACCTTAAGGGTGTAGGCAAAAATGAAAGTAGAAAAACAAACCCCATAATGTAATTTCTGTCAGCTGGAAGGTCAGTCGTCTTAATCAATTTTATAGGAAAATAAGCAGCAAAGTGGTTCCATATAGAAGAATTTTTGTACCAGGACTTGAAAAAAATTTTTGAAAAATTTTTAAGAAATTTCTAAGTTACCCAATTCCGAGAACCTCTAGCAGGAGTTTCCAAATCATACAAAAACCATAAAGCATAAACACAAACTGTCCACCAATAACGAGTAAAAAATAAAAGATAAATAGGCAACCAAATAGTAATAATTGGAAATATTATCCATAAAAACCTGAAAAAAATTAAAAAAAATTTTTTTCGATAGAGAAAAAAAATAAAACACTGAAGACCAAGAATTTTTTTAGGAAATTTTTCAAAGTTAAACCAATTAAAAATATTTTTTTAATTTTGAATATCAACCCATTAAATAATCATTGTCATCACAGTTTTGAATCGAAAAAAAAAATTTTGTCAAAAAAAACTGCGGACAAAATTTGCGGACTATCTTTATTTAATTTTTCTCGTCCTCAAAATTAAACCTTTCATCTTCGAAATAAAAAAGAATATCTTTTATTCTTCAAACTTTTACCTTTAAAGCAGAGGTGGGTCGGAACAGTCAGAGGCGTCGGAAATCGGAACTGGCTCAAAAGTCGGAACTCGGAAATCAAAATTTTTTTCCGGAATCGGAGGCGGAATTCCAACCCACCTCTGCTTTCGTTTTTAAATGACACCGAATTTTTATTTTGAATCCTTCCTTAAACCGTCTACATAAAGTTGAGAATCCCGCTAGTCCCCCCAAAGTTTTTAAAATTTAAAAAATAAACTCACATATGGTGATAGACTGCAATAAATTGTAAAATTAAATTAACAACATAAGCCAATTTAGTTGACATTTTTTAAAATTAATTTTTAAAAAGGCACAAGTAAATTAATTAGGTCAATGGGTTACCAAGTCCTTAAAAATTAATTATTTATATATGTTCTCTTTTTTAGTATTTTTTTTTGTATTTTATACTAGATACTTTCTGATAAGAAAAAGGAAGAGACAATAAAACAAAGAACAGAAAAAATATATACTTTCTAGTCTCCCCTCTTCCTTTCCTTTTTTTGTGGGTACAGCCCAAGTAGGCGCGCGGCCAAGTAGGCGCAAAGCCATAACTTGCTTCAAGATTTCCGAATCTTAACAAATTTAGTATTAAACGATTCCTCTCAACGAGCTAAAGAGATTGATACCAAAGTTGATAAGGAACAGAAATTTTCAAGGTAGTTATGGCTTTGCGCCTACATGGCCGTGCGCCTACTTGAGCGTGTTCCCTTTATTCTATTGGAAAATACAAACTTCAAAAAATTAATTATTTTATATTGTCTAAATGACAAATTAAATTCAAAAAAAATTTCTTTTGAAACAAATTTATAATTTTATTAAAATTCAAAAAAAATAAAATATATTTAATAAATCATTTTTTTAAGTGATCAAAATTTAAATTTTAGTAAAATTAATGATGTAATAATTAATTTAATTTAAAAATTTTTTGTTCTAATTTTAATTTAAAGAAAAAATTATATTTTGTGACTGGAAAGATAATTAATTAATAAAAATATATTTTATAGTCCTTTTAAAAATTGTTGAAAAATTTTTCTTTAATTCCCTAAAAATTTAATTTCCCTAAAAAATCTTTCCAGTCTCAATTTTTATAATTATTTTAAATATCAAAAATTTCACAATTAGAATTGTTGAAAAAACAACTAAAGAAAAAGACAAATCATCAAAAACCAAAATTTTTCGAGGTTCTTTTAAAATAAGAAAAACAACAAATTTTTCTTCAAAAAATTTTTTTGTGCGTGTAATAGAGGTCGGTAAAATCGCGTTTGTGGGATCGCGCGGGATAAATCCCACATTCCCGCAAATCGAAAAAGTGCGGGATTGCGGGAGCAGTATCCCGCGCGGGATCCCGTCCCGCGCCGACCTCTAGTGTGTATGAATTGTCTTTTCTACAAAAATTATTAAAATTTTAATTGAATTGTCTTTTTCATCAAAATATTCCCACTTTCCTTCTCTTCACTTTAACGTCTTTTTTTTCCCATTCTTATGTATATTCACCAACCCCTTTACTTCTTCCCTCTCTCTTTTTTTTAATCTTTTCTTTGAGATTCTCTTCATCCAAAAATCTTTTCTTCAAAATTTAAACCCTTATAGACTGATCAGAAGAAGAAATTAAAGGAATATCTGTTGGAGAATTTAATTTAATTGAAGAATTACTCGAAGTTGTTAACAAATGGATATTGTGAGGAGCTGATTCTACTGTCAAATCATTATTTTTTTCTTCCTCAATTAATTTTTGTTGTTGCTGTTGAAATTTATTTGGGGAATTATTTGAAGAAGAATTAATTATTTGGGGAGGTATAGATATTCTTCTGTCAATTGCTGCTGAGGCTGATGCCGCTCTAGAAGTTTTTCCTCCCCCAATATTGTTATTATTACATTCTGTTGTTGATTGTTGATGATGAACTACTTTTTTTATTCCGGCCCCTCCTTTCCTTTTTGATATATGGGGATTGTCTTGATAAGCATTTTTTAATTTGTACATTCTTAATTGGGTGTAAACACGTTTTAATTCGGCCTGAAAAAATTTGGGAAAATTTTTAGAAAATAATTTAAAAGGGGAAAGATGTTTTGTACTTAAGAATGTCCGCAACAAAGTCGCCAAATTTTTTCCTTATTTGTAACTAAAGTCGTCTTCAATGTTTTCTGAAAACAGAAAACTCAATGCAATTTTGAACAAGAAAAATTTTTTAGGTTCAAGAAAGTTCTAAACTTTTTGGAAAAAATAAAAAGATAAAAAAATTTTGCGGACATTCGTGGATTTTTGGAAGGCATAAAGGTTGATTAGTATTTTTTTCCATAAAAAATATGAGGACTTTCTGGAGCCTAAAAAATTTTACTTCTTCAAATTTCACAAGCAGTTCATATTTTCGGGAAAATCTGTGAACCTATAGAATTTATTTTTTTTGGAGTATTAAAGGAAAAGAAACCCAAAAAAGTCTTCCCAAACCCCCCAAAAAATATTTTTAAAAAATACTCGAATATCTTCAGGATTCATATCAACAATCGGCACTTCTTGAAAGTCAATAGTTCCATTAATCAAATTTTCACGCATTTTGGCTAGGGAAGGATGTGCTCTATTACTTCCAATTATTGCTGTAGCATTTCCACTATTTAGAGTCCCTCTAGCCGTGTTTTCTGTTGAAAACTTTAAAAAACGAGAAAATTTGAATTTAAAAAATTATAAAGGAAAACCAAAAATTTCGGAGCAATAATGGCTACAATATTTAAAGAAATTGTTAAATGAAGTTGGAGTACAGCAACAAGAAAGAGTGCATCTCTTGAACCAACCTCATTTAGGGCATATCTTTAAAAAAATTTTTTTTACAAATTTTTGACGTAAACCTCTATTTTTTATTTTTTTATATCTTGTGGTTGCCCGTAAATAAAATTACAAAAAAAAATTTTTTTCAGCAAAAATTAATCAAATTCTATTTTTATTAGTCCAATATACATTTTTCATAATTAAAAAAAAATTTTTTAATCTTAAAGAAAATGAACTTTTTTTTGTTATTGAATCCCAAAGGTATTATAAATTTATAAAATGAAAAATACAAAATAGAGGCCAAAAGTTCAAAAACTTTTTTTAAAAATAATTTTGAAAAGTTTTTTGAGGATTCCCAGGAAAATAATTATTAAAAAATTAAAATAACCTAATGGAAGAGGCTACAAGTGAAATAATTGCTTCCAAAATAACAGCCATTGTAAATTGATAGCGTTCGACCCAACTGCTATTTCTTGCTTTATAACCTTCAAAAAAATTAAAGAATATTAGAAAACAGGCCCCGAGCCTTAAACAATTTTTAGGAAAAAAGAGATGAAAATGTGCGGACAAAAGTTGCGGATTTTTTTGGAAAAAATAAAAAAATTTTACAGTCCAAAAAATCTCCCAAAATTATTAAAAAAAATCTTCCCACCCTCCAAAAAATAATTTTTAAAAAATTAGAAAAAATTTCAAAGAAGTAAAAAACTAACATACCGTATTTCCTGAAATAGTACTCCCCCCTGAATTAGCACTCCCCCCTTAAATAGTACTCCCCTTTAGAGGAGGGTTGAAAAATAGTACTCCCCCCTGAATTAGTACTCCCCCTAAAATAGCACTCCCCCCTAAAAATTTTTCTCCTATATTTGAAAAAATAAAAAGAGACTCATTGAATTATTTTATTTATTCTAAGTAGCGTTGTCGGTTTCACTTGATTCTCCTATAAACAAAACCGGAAAGCCTTCGGTTAACCGAAAACGAACTGAAATTTTAACCTAAAATTTTTCGGAGATTAAAGAAATACAATCCGGTTAATTGGTGGGGTAAAAGTGGATTTTGGGGGATATAAAGGGATTGATATCTGATGATAAAATGGGTTCTGGATTGATCAAGTAGGATTTAAAAGATATCATTGGATTAAGGTTTGATGAAGGGATTTGAGGGGAATACACACAAGATTAGTTAACCCTATGAGATTAGTTAATAGAGGGATACACACGAGACTAGTTAACCCCCTGATAAATTCCTAGACAGAGATATTTCCACTATATCCCAAAAAATTAATTGATAATCATTTTATTAATATCATTTTATTATTATTGATAATCATTTTATTATCATTTTAATATCAACTTTATCCCCTCAAATCTCACGATATCGCTTTTAATCAAAAATTACCTGGCATCCCTACTAATCCGCTAAAACGTCAATATCCTTCTCAATCCTGATAATTTTTTCGACATCCAACTTAATCTATCGATATCTCTTAATCGCTTAAAATCCCATTATACCCCTGGATATCACTCCAAATCCACTAATATCCTTTTTGCTTTCCCTCAATAACCCTATTTTAAGTCACTTGTGTTTAAAAGTCTCGCAAGTTGCTCAATTTTATACTAATTTGGAATCCACATTTCTTGAAAATCCAAATTTGGATCCGGCATTTTTCAAATTACGAACTCTAATTGATTTAAACATTTAAAATTTTGAGACAAATTTTCCTAAGATAAATCATGGAGGTAGGTTGAAAAATAATACTCCCCCCTGAATTAGTACTCCCCCCTTAAATAGTACTCCCCTTTGGAGGAGGGTTGAAAAATAGTACTCCCGGGAGTACTATTTTAGGAAATACGGTAATCTAATTCCATAAAACAAAACCAATTGTTCACAAAGAGAAAAAAACATTCTAAATTCTTCCACAGGGCATTGGGGCCATTGGGACGACCATAAATCTGAGCGGGTCCAAGAACCTGAAGACCAAGCAAGAATTCCTTTAAAAAGAAATTTTTTTTAATAAAATTTAATTAAAAAATAACCATAAAGCACAATTAAAATAGCAAAAAGTAAATATAAAATTAAATCAAGTTCTCTAACAATAACGTGTTGAGCTTTACGTACTCGATATTCTTGTAAATTTCTTAAAAAATAATTATTATTAAAATAAAGATTTAATTAAAAAATAAGATAAGGAAGAGTGTCAAGGTAGACCAGAGTTGAAAAAATTTTTTACGAGATTTCCGATAATGTTATTGAAAAGCATATGCCTGTTCCTGCGTTCTGGGTTTGATTTATTGATCTGGGCCTGTAGTTTAGAAAAAACCCATGCCCAAAAAGAACACAGGAAGTCAAAAAATGCATGGGCATGGACTCTGGGTACAGGAAAAACCCAGGCCTTGGTCCAGACACAGATCGATCTCGAGAAAGCATAATATTCCAAATATATCACGGAGTGAGAACGGCGCGTTTTAAATATTGAAAAGGAAATATAACTTGAGTGATTGGTCATTAATCGGTCACCCTTATAAGATATGGAAGGTTATTGACTAGATCAACTGACGCCAATAACCCTAATTAATACCCAAAAAAGAAACCTATAAATTTTAAGAATCACAGAGCCATAAAATAAAGTAAAACCAAGTTGCCTGCCAAAATCAGCAATCCAACAACTCCAAGGAATATGTTCTGGCCAGCCAAGTAGAGGCTTTAAAAAACATTTAAATAGAAAAAATATACACATACAATAGCATAAAGTATAATAGCACCCATAAAAAATGCTTCCATTAGAGCCCAGCCTCTATCATTTTGTTCGTGTCTTTTTTCTCGGACAATAAACTTAAAATAAATTTTATAAAAAAATAACAAAGACTCTTACAATAATCATAAAAAAACAAAAAAGAATGCAAACAATTGAGAGAAGAAAAAATATTTTTTGAAGGAGTAGCCAATCAACTCTGCATAGTTGCTCACCATATTCTTCATGGCAGCAAGAACGCGCGAAAACTTTTACTCCCCCGTGGACAGAATAAGAGCACTAAAAAAGAATCAAAATGAACAATTTTATAAGCGACAAAACGCCAACGCTTAAAAGGGTCAAAATGCCAAAGTCTCGAAAGGGTCAAAAATGGAAAGGGTACAAAATGGTCAGAGGACATATTTTTCTAAAAGGGACACTTTTAGAGAAATGGTCAGCCAAAAAAATTTTTTTAACCAAAAAATAGTCAGAAACAAGAAAACCACTTACATGTGTTTGGCAATCAGCATTTTCACAAACATCCAAAGAAAGTTTAGGCAACCTCATCTGCAGATATTTGTGGGGATCAACAGTTTTGTAAATTGCCAAAGGCACCCAATAAGGATTACTGGAATGGTCATTACATATTAATTGGAATGCAAAGGCAGGTGAATTAATCGAATCTGGCTGTGTTACGGGTGTTGAAGTTATTGTTGAATTTGGGGGAAGCGCTTAAATAGGTAAATATAGATTTTAAATTTTATGGTGGCTGGATGTCTAGTTGATGGAAAAATAAAGAGGGGAGATTCTAAAAAATGTAGCGGTCCAGGAAAAATCCGGAATCTTTGTCCGCAAAAAAAATCCGCAAATTAAAAAATGTCCGCAAAATTTTTGCGGACATAAAATTTGAACAATTTTTCGTTATTGTGGAATGCCACCCCAAAATAAATTTTAAATAGAACAATTTAAAATAGACTTACAATAATCAGAATTAACAATATATGGATGTTTTGAATAAATTTGAGCAAGAGATAATAACAAATTTAATTGTGTAGACGATTTTTTTAAATCCTCATTTGTTGTGTTTATTTTTAAAATTCTCTGAATTGACCCGTTTATTAATTTTTGGATTAATTGGCCATTTATTATTTTTATTTGATTATTTTCGTTATTGCAGGATAATAAAAGGCTGTCTAATTGTGCTAAAAGGTCTTTTAATGAAGTTGAGGAACGGGAAATTGGAGCTCTACGCCTTTCTATTGAGTGGAAAGTTGTTGGGAGTGAAGCCTAAAAATTAAAATTTTTAAAAAATAAGAAAGGCCGCAAATTCTGTCCGCAATCCCAAAAAAGTCCGCAAATTTTATCCTCAAATTACAGAAAGATCCGCAAGTTTCGTCCGCAAATTTAAAAAAGTCCGCAAGTCTTGTCCGCAAATTCCAAGAAAGTCCGCAAGTTTTGTCCGCAAATTTAAAAAAAACCGCGAAAATTTTTGCGGACAAAAAAAGAAGTCCGCAAATCTAAAGTCCGCAAAATTTTTGCGGATAAAAAATAGGAAAGTCCGTAAATTTTGTCCGCAATTCCAATAAAGTCCGCAAAGTTTGGTCCGCAAATTAAAAAAATCCGCAAAAATTTTTTGCGGACAAAAAAAAATTAAAAAAAACCTCAGATATAAAATCCACAGCACTTTCAAAAGCTATAATATTATTTTCAACAATTGGCATCAATAAAAGAAAAATAAATAGAAATAAAATCCATGACAACATCCCCCCCAAAAAATTGTTGTTTTTTAAATAATTAATTTATTTAAATAAAATATTCAAAATTAAATAAAGAAGAAAAGAAGAAATAATTTTTCATAATTTTTTTGAGTTTTACATATAAATCTGAAAAAGAAAAAAATTAAAAGAAAATAAAGATTTGTGTTTTTGTAATGGTACTCTAGGGGATTTTTTGGCAGAATAAAAATTTTAAGTGAAAAATAGAAAGACAAATTTGAAAAAAATTTTTTTTTGAAAAAAATTGTCTGGCCTATATTTTTTGATTTAAAAATAAAATACTGACAGACCTCGGAGAATATAACGGAGAATATTTTAAAGCGAGGAAGGAGGGTAACTTTTAGACGGCTCCCCATCACTCAGGAGTCCAGCCAACCTTTGAAAAACGTTTCTTAAATTAAGGTATTTGGTGAAGATTATAGAGATGTGTTCGGTTGTATTCCAAAAAAAAGAAAAGAATTATTACCAGCCAAACAAAAATTAGAAAATCGAATATTTTAGTTGTTTAACTGGAACCCCATTCAATATTATTATTATTTTTAGCAAAATTTTGATTAAATTTTATTTTTTACTTGTTTAAACAAATGTAAACGTCACTAAAAAGAATTTTTAAAAATTAAATTTTCATTTCTTGTTTAGCTTTTAAAAATTCAAAAAAGAAAAATAATTTTTCCTTTTTTTGGCAAAACGTCATTTATTTTTTATTTGATTATTTTCAAAACACCAAATTTTCAAAATGTCCAAAAAAGGGACACGGCCAAACCGGCGCGCGGCAATAATGGCGCAAAGCTATAACTTACTTCAAGATTTTCTAATCATAACAAATTTAGTATTAAACGATTCCTCTCATCGAGCTAAAGAGATTGGTACCAAAATTGTTAAGGGCCAGACGAATTCCAGCAAGTTATGGCTTTACGCCGTTATGGCCGCGCGCCGTATTGGGCTCCAAAAAAGCTTTTAAAAATACGAAAAAAATACCAAAAAATTTGTCAAAAAAATTTTTTTCCACAAAAAAGGTCAAGTAAAAATGAAGGGTAAAACTACTAGAAGAAAAGTAAAAGAAAAAGAAAAAAATCTTTGAAAAAATTTTTTTTATTTTGCCAAGTAACCATGCTAACAAGAAAAATCCCTCCAACAGAGAAAGGCATTAAAATGGATAAAATCGGAAAAATGACAAAACTCTTTATTTTCCTTTTCTTTTATTTTTTTTCTTTAAAAAATACCAGACAAAAGGGCGTTAAAAAAGGGGAAAAAATTGGCTCGATTTTTGTTTTTAAAAAACAAAAATAAATTTTTATAATGTACTATAAATGGATACGGAAAGTGTTGCGAGACAATATCAAAATACCAATGAAGATGTAAATTAAATAGTAGGAATTTTGGCCTTGAAAATTTTTACTGGTCCGAGAAATAGTTTAAAAAGCTGGGTGGCCAGCTCGAGAAAATCAAAAAAAAAGTCTCTTATAGAGAAAGTTGATTATTTGGAGGGTGATTATTTGGAGGTCTTGATTATTTGGAGGGTCTAAACTGTGAAACCTCTTTTATAACCCTCCATCCAAATGACTAGACTGATTAATAGCCCCCAAAACTTAATTGAATTCGAGACTTGTATGTCTATCAGGGCTGTCCGCGGATTGCGTAAAATTACGTGTTTTTTTGAGTTGCGGATTGCGTTTGCGGATTTTAAAATTAAAATTGCGGGTTGCTGATTGCGGCTACTAGGTAAGATTTGGGTACACCCCACTTTGACGCAGCCCACTTTGCCGCGCCCACTTTGCCGCAGCCCACTTTGACGCACGCCCACTTTGACGCAGCCCACTTTGACGCACGCCCACTTTGACGCAGCCCACTTTGACGCGCTCCCATTGATTGAATACAATAAAAATACAGGGGCAGGTAAAAAAATAAAAAAGGACAACTGAAAAAAAGAAGTAAGGCACAAACTCTTAATCATAACGCACCTTTTTTTGCCACATTTTTGACCGATTTCGCTCCTTTTCTGAGGAGCCATGCCCCTTTTTGGTGATTTGTAAAGGACCACCCTGCTCACAATATCTCTTTTAATCCCTTCGAATTTGACTCTTGAGTTGCAAAAAGAACATTTACTCACTCAAACTACATACACTCAAGAAGGCCAAAATTTGCCACCTTACAATTTTAAATATTATTTCAGTTATGAAAATAAAAATTTTATTTCCGATTTCTGAGTTCCGACTTTTGAGCCATTTCCGATTTCCGGCAGTTCCGATTTCCGACACCTCTGACTGTTACGACCCACCTCTGTTTGAAAGAATACCCGCTAACATTATTAAGTTATTTGCGTAGGTATACTACCTGCTCCCGTTCGAACCTGTCCGGCGGCTGAACTTAATAAGCTGCGTCAAAGTGGGCGTGCGTCAAAGTGGGCTGCGTCAAAGTGGGAGCGCGTCAAAGTGGGCGTGCGTCAAAGTGGGCTGCGTCAAAGTGGGCGCGGCAAAGTGGGCTGCGTCAAAGTGGCCTGCTCCCGAATTTTTTTCAATTGCAGACAGCCATGGTTTATATGCTTTCTTGGGTTGGTAAAGAAATTATAACGGAGAGGTATCCTTAAAATTTTTACGTTTTAAAATTTGTAAAAGAAAAATTAAATTTTAAAATAGAGGTGGATGAAAGAAAAAGAGATTTTTTTTGGGTCCAAAAAATATTATGTAAACACATTTTTTTCCTCATCAATATTTTTTCTGTTAACGACCAAACGTTTTTTTTTCTACCTAATAATTTCATCCAATATTTTCTTTTAAAGTCAGTTGTTCATTTTTTGTGGAAGGAAGATGGGAAATTGAGGGAAAATGATTTTCACTTCTTTAAATGATTTTTTTTCATTCACACGCCAAAAAATTTTTATTTTATTTTTTTAAGCGATCTGTGATTTTAATGGGAAATAATAAATTTAAAGGGAAAATTGGGGGAAAAATGAAAGGAAAAAAAACTTTAAAAAAATATGGAATAATAAATTAACAAATTAAACTTTTAAGAGATTTTTAAAGTTAAAATTGGGGAAAAAATAAAGTTGGAAAATAAAGTTTTTTTCATTTTTAGAAAGACAAATAACAGAGGAATAAATGACGTTAAACTGGCAATAAAAATTTTAAAAAATTATCAAAAATGAACTTAGAACCATAAAATTTTGCACAGATATTCTCGACACTATTAAATAACTCTTCTGAAAATTTCAGAATTTTTGGTTCAGAATTTCTGGAAATATAAGAAAAAAATTAAGAGAAGTAAGCATTTTTCTAGGCCTAGCATTTTTCTGACAATAATTTCGGAAATATTTGACCAAAAATTCTGAAATTTTTAGAGAATGTAGCCAACACTATTTAGCATCTCCACACAAAATTAGGCAATTTTAAGTTATTTTTAGGCCGTTTTATATAACCCCGCGCCGTATATGTTCTTGCGCCGAAAATGCCTTCTCCAGTCAGTAAATTTTAACTAAAAAGGTAAAATAAACTAAAAAAATTTACAAAAAATATTTAAACAGAAAAATATAAAACAAAAAAAGTGTTATTATTATGAATGACACGCTTTTAGAAATTATTATTATTATTATCCAAAAAAAAGAGAGAAAGTATTGTTGTTTTGTGTTTGTAAAAGCTAAGGACATCCGGATAATCCTTCCTTTTCTCTCTGTCTTTTTTTTCTTTTTTCCTCACAGCTTCCCACACAATTCGATAAATTTTTGGTGTTTGGGGGACAGCAAAGGCCGCGACGGCTGGGCCAATATAGAGAAAATCAGAAGGGAAAGTCGAGAAA